ACAGTCCCCGGGCAAGGCAGCGCGCGGGGGAGGAGAGTCAAGCAGACATAGCGTCGCGTCTCTGCCTGATGTGTCGTGACGGGCACGTCTGGCTTGGAGCGAAGTTTCACACGGAGCGCTTGGGGGGACCCCAGTAGTCGGTGGGGATTTGCTCCTACCCCGCTGAGACTTTGTGGGTCTGGTACCGCGGAGTCGCCCGGTGGTGCGTGCCCTTGGCTCGCTCAATGGCTCGCTCGCTCGCTCCTTCTCCGCCTGGTCCTGGCCACCCAGCCCACAACCCGCCGTTCTCCCGCCCGCGTCGTTGTACTCCCCTCCCACCACTGCCTCCCTCCCCCTCGTCCGCCACCCCCTCTCACGCCCACCCTTCCTCCGCTCATCCCCTCCCCTCATCCCCTCCCCTTTCCAGTGCCCGTGTGCCCCATCCCCGTCACCACAGTCCATCTCATTCCTCGCCCCTTATCTCCGAGCAACCCCTTCCCTTACACGCACGCCCCCTCGTCCTCCATTGGAGAATTGTTGGTTTCAGCGAAAACCCTATGGGTCCAAGAGCTCTGGAATCCGAGGGGTTGTCGCAGTCGGAGTGGGCCAGGCGCGGGCGAATAGGAAGAAGAGTAGAGAGGGGAGAGGAACTACAAAAGTAGGTGAATATCGGGAGGAGGAGGAGGCGGAGTAGGAGGAGGATGAGAAGGAAGAGTAGAAGGAGGTGGCAGGAGGAGGAGCAGGAGAAAGATAATGATGATAATAATGATGAGAAGGCGAAGGAGGAGTGGGAGGAGGAGGTAGAGGAGGAATTCTCATACGCACCTCTCCGAGGGAGTAGAGCTCAGAGGCGATTAATGCGCACGCGTTCGCGATTTGTCTGGGCGTTTCGCTCGGGACATCCTCGAAATTCTGAAAATCGGTGGCACCCCTCACGCAGATCGTGACGTCAGGGTCCAAAAACACATAGGAATTTCAACATTTTAACATAAAACCTTCAAAAACACATGGTGCTTTCAATATTTGTGACCCCGATTCTCAGGGAATGGCGGTTTCGCTTGAAACATCTTTCCAAAAATCGAGCCCCAGACCCCGCCTCGGAGCCTCCTGGGGGCCTCCTGGAACCTCCTGGGGCCTCCTGGGGCTTTCTGAACCTTCTGGCACCCCAGACCCCGCCTCGGAGCCTCCTCGGGGTCTCCTGAAACCTCCTGGGGCCTCCTGCGGCCTCCTGGAGCCTCTTGGGGCCTCCTGAAGCCTCCTGGGGTCTCCTGGGGCCTCCTGAGGCCGCCTGGGGCTTCCTGGGGCCTCCTGGGGCTTCAGAACTACATGCACACAGAGACACAAATCACGCCCAACACATCACACGCTAGACAAACATAACACACACACACACACACACCACACACACACACACACACACCTACAACACACAAAAAGCACGCACCACACAAAGCATACATCACACACACACACACACACACACACACACACACACACACACACACACGCACAACACTCACAATCCTGGGGCCTCCTGGAGCCTCTTCTGGTATCCAAGTCGGGCCTCCTGAGGCTTCCTGGGGGGTCCTGGTACACACATCGCAATGTGTGGCAACCCCACTTGCGCTCGAGTGCGACTTCGATGTTGCATTTCACTCCTGCTTCAAACGCCCCTTCAGTTTTTTGTATGAGCCTGGGCACACACGTGCCACTTGTAATAAGAAGAATTATAATAATATTAATAATAAAAAGAAGAGGACGACGATGACAACGTCGACGACGGCAGTGACGAGATGAGGGGGGATAGAGTAGCAGAGGAGGATGAGGAGGACGACGACGACGAGGATGAAAAAGACGACGAGGGACAGAAGACGACGAGGGACGGTGCGCGGGGGGCAGCCGGGATAACATCGCTTGCGGGTGCCGCCTGCAGGAGTTGGGGACCTTGAAGAAGAGGCGGGAACACGTGCAGAACCAGATCGTGAAGATTTGCCGGAGGACCCCAGATAGCGTATGTGTGTTTTCTCTCTTTCCCTCGCCGCGCCCTTGCCCACGTGGCTGCCCCCTCGCGAGTGTTGTTGTTTTTGTTGTTGCTGCTGCTGTTGTTGTTGTTGTTGCTGTTGTTGCTGTCATTGTTGTCGTTGTTGTTGCAGTTGTTGTTGCTGCTGTTGTCGCTGTTGTTGCTGTTGTTGTTGTCGTTGAACTTTCGCGACTGAAGAATAATTGATGTTCATTCCCCCCTCCGGGGCACATTGTGTTTTCCATTGAAGTGCCCTTCCCGGGGCTCTACCTTGCTTTTTATCAGGGAACGTTCTGGGTCTCATTATTTGATTGTGGGCTCTCGGATTATTACAGTAACAACAACGGCTCCCGCAGAATACTTCTTCAGGGTTTTACCCCAAATCGCGCTCTCGCGTGGGACCCCCTCGCAACTTATTCAGACGTCGCGCCCTCGGTAGTCTGGAATCACGCTCGCGCTGTGGATTTCTCAGGATTTGTTTGGGGAATTGCGCTGTCGCTT